CAGAGGTCAAATGAATGTCTAGGATAACCCAATCAGCCTGTCAGAGGTCAAATGTCAAAGGAATGTCTATGATAACCCCATTAGCCTGTCAGAGGACAAATGTCAAAGAAATGTCTAGGATAACCCCATCAGCATGTCAGAGGTCAAATGTCAATGGAATGTTTAGGATAACCCATCAGCCTGTCAGAGGACAAATGTCAAAGGAATGTCTAGAATACAAAAATGTAGCCCCATCAGCCTGTTAGAGGACACATGTCAAAGGAATGTCTAGAATACAAAAATGTAGCCCCATCAGCCTGTTAGAGGACACATGTCAAAGGAATGTCTAGGATAACCCCATCAGCCTGTCAGAGGACAAATGTCAAAGGAATGTCTAGGATCCGATAACCCCATCAGCCTGTCAGAGGACAAATGTCAAAGGAATGTTTCGGATAACCCCATCAGCCTGTAAGAGGTCAAATGTCAAAGGAATGTCTAGGATAGCCCCATCAGCCTGTCAGAGGTCAAATGTCAAAGGAATGTTTAGGATAACCCATCAGCCTGTCAGAGGACAAATGTCAAAGGAATGTCTAGAATACAAAAATGTAGCCCCATCAGCCTGTTAGAGGACACATGTCAAAGGAATGTCTAGGATAAGCCCATCAGCCTGTCAGAGGTCAAATGTCAAAGGAATGTCTAGGATAACCCCATCAGCCTAGCTGTCAGAGGTCAAATGTCAAAGGAATGCCTAGGATAACCTCATCAGCCTGTCAGAGGACAAATGTCAAATGAATGTCTAGAATACAAAAATGTAGCCCCATCAGCCTGTTAGAGGACACATGTCAAAGGAATGTCTAGGATAACCCCATCAGCCTGTCAGAGGACAAATGTCAAAGGAATGTCTAGGAAAACCCCATCAGCCTGTCAGAGGACAAACGTCAAAGGAATGTTTAGGATAACCCCATCAGCCTGTCAGAGGTCAAAGGAATATTTAGGATAACCCTATCAGCCTGTCAGAGGTCAAATGAATGTCTAGGATAACCCAATCAGCCTGTCAGAGGTCAAATGAATGTCTAGGATATCCCCATTAGCCTGGCAGAGGACAAATGTCAGAATGTCTCGGATAACCCCATCAGCTTGTCAGAGGACAGATGTCAAAGAAATGTCTAGGATAACCCCATCAGCCTGTCAGAGGACAAATGTCAAATGAATGTCTAGGATAACCTCATCAGCCTGTCAGAGGTCAAATGTCAAAGGAATGTCTAGGATAACCCCATCAGCCTAGCTGTCAGAGGTCACATGTCAAAGGAATGCCTAGGATAACCCCATCAGCTTGTCAGAGGACAAATGTCAAAGGAATGTTTAGGATAACCTCATCAGCCTGTCAGAGGACAAATGTCAAAGGAATGTCTAGAATACAAAGATGTAGCCCCATCAGCCTGTTAGAGGACACATGTCAAAGGAATGTCTAGGATAACCCCATCAGCCTGTCAGAGGACAAATATCAAAGGAATGTCTAGGATAACCCCATCAGCCTGTCAGAGGACAAATGTCAAAGGAATGTTTAAGATAACCCCATCAGCCTGTCAGAGGTCAAATGAATGTCTAGGATAACCCAATCAGCCTGTCAGAGGTCAAATGTCAAAGGAATGTTTAGGATAACCCTATCAGTCTGTCAGAGGTCAAATGAATGTCTAGGATAACCCAATCAGCCTGTCAGAGGTCAAATGAATGTCTAGGATATCCCCATTAGCCTGGCAGAGGACAAATGTCAGAGGAATGTCTCGGATAACCCCATCAGCTTGTCAGAGGACAGATGTCAAAGAAATGTCTAGGATAACCCCATCAGCCTGTCAGAGGACAAATGTCAAATGAATGTCTAGGATAACCTCATCAGCCTGTCAGAGGTCAAATGTCAAAGGAATGTCTAGGATAACCCCATCAGCCTGTCAGAGGACAAATGTCAAAGAAATGTCTAGGATAACCTCATCAGCCTGTCAAAGGAATGTCTAGGATAACCCCATCAGCCTGTCAGAGGTCAAATGTCAAAGGAATGTCTAGCCTGATCAGCCTGTCAGAGGACAAATGTCAAATGAATGTCTAGGATAACCTCATCAGCCTGTCAGAGGTCAAATGTCAAAGGAATGTCTAGGATAACCTCATCAGCCTGTCAGAGGACACCTCATCAGCCTGTCAGAGGACACCTCATCAGCCTGTCAAAGGAATGTCTCGGATAACCCCATCAGCTTGTCAGAGGACAAATGTCAAAGGAATGTCTTTGATAACCCTATCAGCCTGTCAGAGGTCAAATGATTGTCTAGGATAACCCAATCAGCCTGTCAGAGGTCAAATGTCAAAGGAATGTCTAGGATGATCTCATTATCCTGTCAGAGGACAAAGTTGCTTTGAAAATTGCAAGACTGGTTGTTTTGATATTTATTTCTCATTTGTATGCTCAAAGAGTGAAGCTATACAATACAATACACTAACACTTTATTATCACCGTAAAGAAATTACAATCTTTTTTGGGCTCTGAGTAATAAAGTTAAATTAATAAACATGAACACAAAATAATTATAATAAGTATCAAAAAACAAGGAAAGTTACTAAATGATTCTTTTCAAGTTTGCATTGTTAATGTATTGGATTAGTGTTTTCAGTAAATGTTTATCTGATGCGTTGATGATTGTCTTGAATTTTTCTGTTTTGTCCATCTCATGTAAATTAGTAAATAATCTGTTAAACTCGTCGTATAGAGTTTTTCTTTCAGAAGAGTAAGCTTTACAAGATGTAATGAAGTGGATTTTATCCTCTAATGCATTGCATGTTTTGCATAGTCTCTTGCTGAGTGGTGTTTTTGGACGAGTATGTCTTCCTACTTCAATCTGTAATTTGTGGCAACTAAGCCGTAATCTTGCTAGTTTTTCAACATCATGGAGTTTATTTAATTTAGTTAAATATGGTGCTTGTTTAATTTCATTGTTTATTTACCTGTATGTCTGTAGTTTTGAGTTCTCTCTGTTATTTTCTTGATTCCATAGTTTATTGTAGTAGTCTTTAGATATCTGGTATAAACGGTCTTTGTTAATATTATTGATGTCAATGTTGTATGTTGTTTTGATGTTGTTGAGTTTTTGCAGTAAAGAGTTATGATAACACTGTTGTTTCAGCTCCATTAAGGCGTCATATGCAAATGTTATTGATCCACTCTTGGTGATGTGCTGATAATATTTTATGGCTCTTTGTTGTACTATGGACAAGAGTGGCAGTCTTCCTAATTCCATTCGACACCCATGCTGCTTTTGTTGTTTATCGATAATATCTGGCGACAGAGTCTTAGGTGACATTTTTCAGTGTCTGTGTGGTCCCATTGTTGTATGTTTATATGTATTCCCCATATTTCTGAGCCATATAATAGTTTTGGTTGTTGTATAGCATCAAATAGTTTGGTCTTCAATCTGATGTTGTTCTTGTTTTTTGGGTAGATTGTTGATAGATTACAATCTGTTTTTTTTGCTTTATCTGCCAGTATTTGTGTTGTTTTTGTCATGGTGCCATTGGAGTTGATGGTGATGCCCAGATATGTAAACTGATTTGTTTTCTGTAGTTTTGTTTTGTTGTATGTGAAAAAAGTGTTCTCTGATTTATGTCCGTTTTTTGTGAACGTCATTGTTTTTGTCTTTTCTGTGTATTGTTGTAGTGAGTTGATGTTTGCTTGGAGTCCAGACTTTGACTTTGATAGCAGGGCGATATCATCAGCATACATCATATTCGATATAGCTTTATTGTTGAGTTTTGGCATATCGTCTGTGTTGAGGTTGAGGTCTTCTGATAGGTCATTTATAAATACATTGAAAAGTGTAGGGGCAGCCTTGTTTCACTCCATTTTCTAATTGGAATAGTGGCGAGATTTGTCCATCCAGTTTGATTTGGAATTGCATGTTGCTGTACATGTCTTTAATGATGTTGTACATTGGGCCACTTATGTTGTGCCTTTGTAGTTTGTACAGGAGTCCATCTTGCCATACTGTATCACATTTCTTGAGATCGATGAAGCATGCATACAGATTTTTGTTTCATGATTGGTACTTTTTAATCAGTGTGTTTATTTATTTATTAATTTATTTATTGCTTCCCTTTTGTAACAGGGGCTCACTATGTAAACTAGGAGCTGCACCAAATAAAAAATACATTTCACTCAAAGACTTATGGATAAAAAAAAAAAAACTTTTGATAGACAAAAAGAAATTAAGTTACATGAACTAAGATAACAAAATATAACAACAACATGTGTGTATTGTTAATATGTGGTCTGTGGTTCTGTGTTCTTTCCTGAATCCTGCTTGGTTTTTTTGTGTATGATGTTCTGTTTCTCTAGAAAGTTGATAAGTCTTGTATTTAGAATAATTGCGAATATTTTGCCTATATTGCCGCTAGTTGAAATGCCACGGTAATTTAATGGATCTAATGCATTGCCTTTCTTATGGATAGGTGTTATTGTATTGATGTTCCAAAGCTGTGGGTAATGTTCAGTAGTAAGTACATGGTTGTATAATAATTGTAGAGCTTGACTCGGAAGTGGGCTACCATATTTCAACATCTCCGGTGGTATTCCATCTATGCCAGATGATTTCCTATTCTTTAGTTTTCTTAATACGGTAGTGATTTCATGTAATGTTATTTTTTTGTTTAGGTATTTGTTTGTTTTCTTCATGTTTCAATATTTCTTAGTGCTACTTTTATCTCTTCTTTTCTGATCTTTGAAGTGTTCAGGCTGCTAGTATTCATGATCATATATCAACAAGTACTCTTTTCATTACAATAGCATTATAGTTTTTAAACCAGATTATTATGGGAATTTAAGTCATATAATTTGAATAATAATTACTGATAGCTACATACTTAACCCTGTTTGTTGTATTTGTATCTGAAGAACTAGAAAATTTCTATTTTGTTCAAAGTATGATGTGATTATGATAAAATGATAAATCCCTTCTTTTATTTTTTTTTTGCACTTTCAGTTCTGTCAACATCACCTAAAAAATATGTAGTTGTTGATGCAGAAGGAACTATTAAGCCAGGAAATTGTGTGGATATGTAAGTAGCTGTACTGTAGTAAAACACCAAAAGTATCATCTATGGTGTTCCCATTGTTAACAACTTTTTGTCTGTGTTTTATTTTACCTAGGTAAAAAGAAGAAAAATACACCAGAAGTAATAAAAACAATATACAAATTTTAGGGGATTCATGTGAGCTCTCTCTGTATCTGTCTCTGTTAGTATATCTCCCAAATTTTGTAATGTGTGGGCATGCACTCATTCTTAATTTTGTACTCTATAAGTTTGCAATTTGCCTTGCCTATAATAAAATAAAAGTGATAGGGGGTTTGGCATCATCATTGTCAATAAAGAGCTTCAATTTTGTTAAAAATGTTTTGTGTCCAAAGCAATTTTTCTCCTTTCTCTTGAAAACTTATTCAAGTATATATTATACACTATACACTATAGGTATTGATGAAAATGTGTCTTCAAAACCTGCATTGGCCATGGAGGTAAAAGTCAGGATCAAAGGTTCCATGATCATTTTTGCTGTATACTCGATTATTATTGGCGACCTGCTCCGCTAGGATTACCCTTATAATCACTTTTGTCGTTTTGTGTATGTTTGTCTGTGTGTGTGATTTTCAGTGTTTTCACGTATGATTTCTTCTGTGATTTTTTTGGTCTTGGCCGATTTCTTTCAAACTTGGCAGGTAGGTCACACCTTCATCCTAGTTATTAGGAAATATCTGAAAAAATGTTTAGGCCCACCATTGCCATAGCAACAGCCAAAAAACTGACTTTTGGATAGCTTCGCGCCAAATGTATCTCCTCATACAAATTTAGAATAAAACACTTCAGACATAGCTCATTCTACTCAGCTTGAGTGTGGGCACAAAGTTACTATTTGAATTTTTGATATCTTTTTTCATTACCGAGAAATTTGACCTCAAAGTTGGGGTAATTTTTGAAGTAATAAACTAAGTGACTGAATGGTGTTTACGAACTTCGTATACGGGCCCATTTAGTTTTTATAAACCGACGTTAGCTTCATGTTTATGTCACACCATGGAAACAGCCAAAAACATATTGCTTGTTTTTGAGCAGAGCGGATCGCCAACCAGCCTACCAGCCATACTAAAAGATTCACTAACTTCTACCTTTACTAATCCACAGTAACGCTAATTTAATGAAACCTCCAAATTCACCCACCACTCTTCATCGCTACCTACTACGCCATCTTAGCCCCACCTGTCTATATCCATTCTGCCACAGAGGGTGCACATCACAAAATCACATATGCAAATGAAAATAAAGATAAATAATAAGAATTCATGACACAGCGAAAGTAAATGAAATTGTTGTGATTGAAGAGGATATATGAAGGTAATAAAACTGCCATCTTTAAACCGTGACGCCTGGAAGGATGTATTAAGAAGATGTGCAATACTGTTAACAACAAAAAAAAACTTGAAAACAATTTCCATGGTCTACTGCAAGCACAGAGTACTCTATTGCATTGATTGTAATGTAGGCTTCAATTTAAACCACATAAGTGGGCCAATTTGGTGCAACCCTGCGAAAACAGCAATTGAAATAACCTTCCACAAAAAATAAATTCCACAAAAAAACTGAAAAACAACACAAGTTACTGATAGATCGACCTATTTTAAAAATTCAAACACGAATAAACTTGTCATAACAATAGCATTCTTTCAAGACGCACCTTGCAAGTAAAATTACTCTTATTCTCGATAAACCTGCATAGCAACCACGAAAAAAAAGACCGGCCTTTGGTTACGAGGACAGTGAACACTCGTATCAGAAATGATCATGGGTATCAAGGGACATTGAACAGTCAAGA